CCTCAAAATTCACTTGTAAAGTGGTTTTGTCCCCCACCCTCAGTAAAGTTTCAAGCCAACCTTTCTTTCTAAAAGTCAGAGGACATGTTAAATGACACCATAGAAATGCAATCAAGAAAACCCAGAAGTTGGGAAACTTTAGAACAATTGTCCTGGTTTCTCCAAAAAATAAAGTGCAAAGGAAAAAAAGAGGGGATGAGGGTGATAAGAAACATAGATTAAAAGTAAAAAGAAACAAATGCAGTGTATGAGCTTTTTTGGATCTTCATTCAAACAAATCAACTACCAAAAATAAAAAACAACCTTTTAAAAAAACCACATAGAAATTTGAACATTGACTGGATATTTGGTGATATTAAGAATTCAATTTCATCTTTTAATCTATGATAATGAAATTGTTATTGTATTCTTAAAAATCTCCCATAGTAACAAAAATGTTACTAGAAAGTAAGAGAAAGTTCCATAATAATAAAGGATCAATCCATCTGGAAGATATATCTCAAAATACATGAAACCAAAACTGACAAAACTGAAAGGAAGAATAAAAGTTGGATACATCAATATTGTATATTCAATAATAAGTAAAAACAACAACAACAAAAACTAGACAAAAGATGCCCAAGAAAATGGAATATTTGAACAACACTCTAAGCCAAGTAGTTCAAATACCCTCGCACTTGACACTGTAATGTTAGCATTGTGATTAATATATTAGAATTCTGGCCTAGAAATTTCAGGCTCCAGAACCTCAGGTAATAGTTATTAGTATTTCTGGTCCCAAAAGATTTGGACACCTTCATAGCACTAAAAACATTTGCTCCGATTCTGGCTTTGCCGGGCTCACCTGGTGAGGCCTCCAGCAATCAGCAATGACCCTCGCTGGCCGTGTGGTTCAAAGAGAGGATGGCTGGTGAGGGTGCTAGGGAGGGTAGTATGAGATGATTCTCAGAAATCACAAAACTTTCTCTTCTGTACATTTTTTTCCCCGTGGCTTAAGTCTCACCATTTCTCACCTTGCTCATTGAAACTCTCCCTGGTACCTCTGCTTCCATCTTCCTTCCTACTGCCCCCTTTCCCAAGTTTCCACATTCAAGTTCAAACCACTACACTTAGTTGAGGTAACAGTTTCATTTAATCTGCAACTACTCCACTCCTGCCCCTGCTCCACCCAGGATTGCTCAGTTGGTGGCATGGTTAGTATACTGGGTGAGGCAGTTCTTCATTGTGCAAGACTGTCCTGTGCATTTCAGTAGGTTTACCATTTCTGTCTCCTGCCCACTGAATACCTCTAGTACCCCTCCAGACATTGTGACAAATGAAAAATGCCCCCAGGTATTTCCAAACACCCTCTGTTGTCCCTTTACAACTGGGTGGCTGCTACTGGTCCCTCATACTTCAGCTCAAGTATGGACTGAACCATATACAAATGCCATCTTCATAGTTCAAGAACATCATACATTGGCCATTTAATATGGTTCAACTGATTATTTTTTCCTTCTAGAAGCCCTCACCTCAAATGCCCTTCAGCACTCTGTGACTTTCATTATTCAAGTGCTAATCACCATGTGTCACAATAGCTGGCTCACTTGTCATCCCCTCCTTCTAACCACACTTCTCAACCCTAATTACCTGGGAGCAAAGATCAAGTCTTGAATTTGCCTCTTGGTATCTCAGCTTCCTTTGGCTCAGGGCCTGGCATATAGCAGATACTAACCCCATGTTCTATGAATAAACAAACAGGATATTGAGCATACTTTCCCTGATGATTCAATGTTACTATTCCTGGGAGATGTCTTCAGAGATTATTGAGCCGCTTAACAGGTTTGGGCTCTCCACTAAATAACCCACCACTGCTCTGCTTTATGGATTTGCGTGTCTGGGTTTTGCGTCATATCATCCGGGTTCCTGCCTCCAGTGATCTTCCCAGGGGCCTTTGGCATCTGAAGCAGATTGCCCCAAGTGCAGTGTGGGGGCACAGCATAAACTTTGGTAACTACACTGGTTCAGGGTCCTTTTGTCTTGTTTCTGGGTTCTCGCTAGCTTTCACACATCTGAAGTCTGTCCTCCGGTTAGTGATGCTCTATCAGGTTCTAAGAACATTTTGCACGGTCATGTTCTTTTTGGAAACAACTGAAAGATGCCTCAGTAGAACTTTTGAAGTAGAAGAATATTCCTGTGCTGAGATGCCCATTTTAGATCCCTAGCTGGTGACAAAATGATGGACTAAGAGATTTTTCTCAAGGCAATTTCAAAATGGTTGCTCTGTCTCTGTAGTCACAAAGTATATGGGTGCATTTATATATTTCTTTTCCTCTTTTGCAGAATGCTGTCCTTTTTAATGGTCTAAATGTAGGAAGGGGCAAACATCTAGGAATGTTACAACATTTTAAAAACCTTCTAAAATATCCACATATTCCAAGATTTTTACATCAATGAACTTTGATCATGCAGACAAATAGGTGCAATTTTTATTTTAAAAGTTTTATATCAATAAACACTGAGCTATGAAACTCAGCTATAGGATCTTTCTAATTTCTGGTTTGGATGACGCTGAGTCAAAAAACCCACTTTCCATCAGAATTCACAGAGAATGAAGTCCTAGACCATCAGGGATAGAGATAAAAGTAATAAGTAGGCAGAAGTAAATAGGAAATACAAATTTTCAGAAAATGTTTATATTTCCTACTAGATCTTTAATTTATATATATATATCTTAAATACCATATAACTCAATCAACAAACAATTTCTGGTTATTTCTTTTAGTTTCAGTATTTATTCTCATCATTTTTCTCTTTTACAGGTAATTACAACAATTTAGGAAACAAAACTACAAACAGAAGAATGTTAAATAGTTTTTTAAAAAGAGTTGCTGCTTGCAAAAAAACGTTTATATAATCTTATTCCTCCATGCATAATTTTATACCTCGTACTAAACTAAGTAGCTTATGAGAAATTATTATTAAATAGTAAAACACACACACAAAAGGCCGACATATATAAATAACTTAACATGAAATAGTTTGGCTGTAATGCAATGTTTAGCAAAGTAAAGTATGATGCAATATGTATCAACTTCATCAACTGGATAAGTCCAATGACACAGATCAGATAATTTCTAAACCCTCAACAATGTGCAAGTGAAACCACCAACTCCAGCGAGGTTCTTTTGGTTTTTGGCCTGTATCCAATTTCATTCCAAAGAGCATCTGTTTTTACATCCTCTTGACTCTTTGGCTGTAAAGAGAAAGAGAAGAAACCAATAAGCAAAAACAGGGTGCCTGGCTGGTAGGAAAGGCGTTGGTACCTAGCAGTTTGCCTCTCATTCCCTAATCTCATCTCAGATGCCAACCAGCTCTGAGTGCAGATGGGGACATTGAGGTTCAGAGAGGAAGGGCCTGGACCTTCATAACTCAGTTAGTGATGACAGAAACAAGATGTGAGCACTTATAGTATGTCTTCACATTCCATGTTGATAGCACTGTGAAGTTAGGTGATTTCTGTCCATTGATAAAAGGTGGCTCTATTATCATCAATGTGAATCAACACCAGTGTTCTCTTTTTCATTGTTTATATTTCAGTTTTTAACAAACGAATGTAAGTTATATAAACAGGAGACATTTTTGCAACAAGAAACCAAATAGCTTGTGACTATCAAATGCATAGAGGAATTTAGTATGTCGTGTGAAAAAAAATCACTAAGTTTAAAAAAAAGAAAAATGATTTCTAAGTGGAAAAAAATGAATTTTTGTTTTGATTGTCCAACTCGAATTTCCCTTTTAAAAATTCCACAGTACGTAAACTGGAAAACACCAGCAAGTCTAGGATCCACTGCTCTGCACACTGCTCTTGCCCCAGATGTTCGGAGAGAGGCTACTAGATTGGGAATGCTTCATACCTGAGGACGTGCACAACATGTTTCACCCATTTCTTCTTTGGATCTGCACACACAGCCAACCCTTTCTTTGTGTGAAAGCTGAAAAATCAGAAAATTTGATTTGTGTTTAAAGAGCTTCAGATGGCTTTTTCACCAAACATGCAATGGAAATTTCGTATTCAAATTGATAGTTCTATACACTAAGCATTTCATTTATATCACAGGTGAAACAAAATGCAAAAAAAAAAAATCCATATTATCTCGATAAAGCTTGATGCAAGAAATAAAAGGGAAGCTTCTGGAAACCAAGGTCAACAGTAATTAATATAAATGTGAGGAGTCCATCAGAAGGCTGGCCTGGATTCCTTTGATATTCACAGGGTGAATATTTACATTTTATTACCTACTGCTGACTCAATGGCCTAAAGCAAACTCCCCCCAAACCTGGTAATCTTACTGTTTTCTAAACATTACCACTGATATGTCTGTTTGCATTCCTAAAAGGCAATTGTGTACTCTAGGAAATAAAAGCAGCTGAGAAACAGAGGCTCGGTGGGACTTGACTACTATTCTCGCGATAAAGCTTGATGCAAGAAATAAAAGGGAAGCTTCTGGAAACCAAGGTCAACAGTAATTAATATAAATGTGAGGAGTCCATCAGAAGGCTGGCCTGGATTCCTTTGATATTCACAGGGTGAATATTTACATTTTATTACCTACTGCTGACTCAATGGCCTAAAGCAAACTCCCCCCAAACCTGGTAATCTTACTGTTTTCTAAACATTACCTGCAAGAAATAAAAGGGAAGCTTCTGGAAACCAAGGTCAACAGTAATTAATATAAATGTGAGGAGTCCATCAGAAGGCTGGCCTGGATTCCTTTGATATTCACAGGGTGAATATTTACATTTTATTACCTACTGCTGACTCAATGGCCTAAAGCAAACTCCCCCCAAACCTGGTAATCTTACTGTTTTCTAAACATTACCACTGATATGTCTGTTTGCATTCCTAAAAGGCAATTGTGTACTCTAGTAAATAAAAGCAGCTGGGAAACAGAGACTCAGAGGAACTTGACTACTATAGTTGAGTTTTTCCCCCCGTCTTCCCCCCATAATTTCAAAATTATTATTTCTTATCTTGTTTGTCAATTTGCGCATCAGCTCTTCCTCCAAGCCTTTGAATCCGAAAGCCACGCTGGCTCAGCAGTTTAACAAATGCATTTTTAATGAAATTTTCTGTTCAATGGCAGAAAATAAAGTCCCAGAATATATATATATATATGTGTGTGTGTGTGTGTGTGTATATATAGATATATATACACACATATATGTATATATATACATATATATATATTCAATAACAAGTTATCCCAAAGTATAATATCCAATATAAATTAAGACTATTATATGTGACAGTACAATTACTCTGAGTTTTTACTGATAGCCTCAACCATTTTCTGGTAGAAGATTATCATTTTCAAGTCTAGTCTATGTTTTATATATTTTCTGGAGCTATCACCTTAGTAGCCAATTATTTTATCTTGAAAATTATTTTGCCTCCTACTGTGCTTCTTTTTTTAAAGCAAAAACCTTTGCCTTAGTCCAGTCTT